CAATGTTTCAAACAATAACAATAACACAAAGAATAAGAAAAACCTGCAGTTAACTAAAGTAAACGCTAAGTAAAACAATAACGCTAACTAATGTTTCAAACAATAACCACACTGAAAAACACTGATGCTAGTTCCAAGCTACCAACACCTCCCTTTCAAGTGCTTCGAGTTGCTTGCCCTAGTGTAGAACCAGCTGAGTTGATTATGAACTGGATCGAGAATCTCTGATCATCGCGAATGAGGCCCAAAATGTCGCAAAACTGATGTTGCTTGCCTCGTGAGAGATATTGCCCAACAAAGATCTAGTCCTCTTTAGTACAAGCCTTCATCCATTAGACTTGTATCCCGGTGAGTAAATCAGTGGCTCATCTCCAACCTACAGTTTCAAACAAAACTATAAGATAATGATGTTTCAAACACTAACAATAATAACAAAAGCTAAGTAAAACCTATAGTAAACTAAAGTAAAGACTAAGTAAAACAATAACGCCAACTAATGTTTTAAACAATAACGCTAACTATTGTTTCAAATAATAACAATAAAACAATAACGCTAACTAATGTTTTAAACAATAACGCTAACTAATGTTTCAAACAATAACAATAAAACAATAACGCTAACTAATATTTCAAAAAATAACAATAAAACAATAACGCTAATTAATGTTTCAAACAATAATGTTAACTAATGTTTCAAACAAGAGATAATTGGCTAAAGTGTCCTATTTGGCACCTATAATTAGAGACTTGCCCATGATGTGACAATCACTTTCCTTTGTACTATTTTTCCCTTCTCTACACTCTCTCTCCTCTCTTTGACATCTCCTCCCTTTTTTTTTCTCTTCAATCCCTAATTATTTTACAAATCTCTATCATTCTATATACAATTAAATTTTAAATTTCATTATTTTTTCATAAGTGGCTTTGAATCCTCAATTTTTTGACCTTTTTTTTCTCTCCAATCCCTAATTATTTTACAAATCTCTATCATTCTATATACAATTAAATTTTAAATTTCATTATTTTTTTCATAAGTGGCTTTGAATCCTCCATTTTTTGATGATATCATTTTTCTGGGTTTTAGATTCGACGTCGTGTTAGCGGTTAACAAATATTGTAGATGTTAACAGAAGTGTTAGTTGTTAACAATTATTTTTACGCTTCGCGTTAATAAATGTGTTCGCTGTTAACAAATATTGTAGACGCTAACAGAAGTGTTAACTGTTAACAATTATTTTTACGCTTCGCGGTAATAAATGTGTTGGCTGTTAACATATATTGTAGACGTTAACAGAAGTGTTATATGTTAACAAATGTTTTTACGCTTCGTGTTAATGAGAGGAAAGAGAAAGGGCATTCTCGGCATTTCCTTGCCAAATGGTTGTGTCAGTGTCCTTTATGTCCAATCAATGGTATTTTGCTAATTTTAGTTTCAAATATGGGTAGTTCACTAAATCACTCTTCAAACAATAACAATAAAATAATAACGCTAATTAATGTTCCAAACAATAATAATAAAACAATAACGTAACTATAACGTTTCAAACAATAACGTTAACTAATGTTCCAAATAATAACAATAAAACAATAACGATAAGTAATGTTTCAAACAATAACGCTAACTAATATTTCAACCAATAACAAAAACAATAACAATAAAGGCTAAGTAAAACCCAGAGTTAACTAAATTAAAGGCTAAGGAAAACAATAACGCTAACTAATGTTTCAAACAATAACGCTAACTAATATTCCAAATAATAACAATAAAACAATAAAGCTAACTAATTTTTCTAACAATAACAATAAAATAATAACGCTAACTAATGTTTCAAACAATAACAATAACAATAAATGCTAATTAAAACCTGCAGTTAACTAAAGTAAATACTAAGTAAAACAATAAAGCAAATGTTTCAAACAATAACGTTAACTAATGTATCAAACAATAACAGTAAAATAATAATGCTAACTAATGTTTTCAACAATAACAATAACGCTAACTAATGTTCCATGGAGGAGGAGGAAAAAGTGGTGGCGGTGGTGGAGGAGGTGGCTACATGGTGGCTCCGCGGACGGGTCCTCTTACATTTCAAGAGATAACTTTGAGAGTGACCCTAAAAGTTACTTTGATAATCTGCATGGTAGTGGACAGGGCAGCAAGTTACTTTGTTCTATGTAATTATTACCAAATAAATTCACTATCTCTATGCAGTGAACATGCTTATGGTTATTATTACCAAATAAATTTTCTAATGATCAAATAAAATAATGTTTTTTTATTTCATCCTTCTTCATACCTCATGTATTAACAAAAATTATCAACTATACATCACGCTATAACTTCATTAGGAGACTCTAAAATCTAAATAATATTTTTCTGGTGTACAATTCAGTGATTCAAGTTCGAGCAACTGGTTGTGGTTGACCAACATTAACTTTTATTGCTCCTAGTCATCCTTCTGATCATGCAACATGAATTTTTTTAGTGTTTAATTTAAATTACAATAAACCCGGATATCATATTGTTGATTCATGTCCTGACATGGAAACGAAAGAGACATAATAATTACATGTTCAGAGAGAAAGACCAGATTCTTCATCCTCCTACGGAGGAGACGTTTCCTTGCTTCGACTCCATTGAGCATCTCACTCCTCCCTTCCTCTTATTGATTGGAGGCAAACCTGAGGTCAACAATAATCAAGATTCACATCTCTAGAACCAGTCAGCAATTTTTTTAAAATACTCTTCTTGTTGGTGACCACAACCGAACTTATCAAAATGGTTTCTTAATTTCTTGTTGATTCTCCACCAAACTACTAAAGATCTTACTTACTCATCATTCATCAACGAATATAAAGCAAATCCGATTGAGTTTCTAGTATAAGATGACATCTCTTAAAAAGAATGCTTTGAAGAAGAGAAAAAAAGGGAAAGGACTTTACCAAGAACAGGAGCAGAGACGGAGACGGTGGGCCTAAGAAGTAGAGCTAAAAACCCAGCGGATCTAAAAGCTAAAAACCCAAACCAAAAGCTAAAAATCAAAACTAGAAACTTAAAAATTAAAAACCAAAAACAAAAATCTAAAACCAAATCTAAAAATAAAAACTGAAACTAAAAACTAATGCAAAATAATCATCACCACAAATTTTGGATTACTGATTTTATACCAAAACATACTTTAAATAAAGACAAAACCTAATTATATAAACTTTTAATCGAAAAAAAATTCCGCGCTTTCAAGCGCGAGTCAAAATCTAGTCTACTCTATTAAAATAAAGTCATTCTTTTTATCTACTGATATAAGTTGTCATTTAAATTTGGACATTTTCTATAGTGTTACAAATAATACAAGTCATATAGTTGATTGAACCGCATTACTTAATTTAAACCGACAGTTATTTATGGAATAGAGTTTTGGGCTTACTTTTGTTTTTATGACAAATTATATAATTTGGGTTTTGGGCTTAGTATTAAAGAAAAACTCCAAAAAAACATTGAATAAATGTTCTACCTTAATGGATCAAAAAATCAATTACTATTTTAAGGCCCAAAAGTATTTAATATTTTAACAAAACAAAATTATATATTATTAATCACTTATTTAAATCATGTACTTTAAAACATGTTAATATTTTTTATTTTAAATAACAATCACTCTGTCTTGATAAATTTCAATAGTAACTTTTATAATAGTTTATTTTTTTACTTTTTGTAAATAACTTACTGATTTTAAAAAAATAAATGTAAAGCAAAACTAAAAACCAAATCTAAAAATTAAAGTTCAAAACCAAAAGCTGAAAACGCATGTTATATTTTTGCTTTTGTTTTGTTTATTTACACAAAATAAACTGTTACATTTTTTAAAAATAAAAATTCTCATCTTTTCATTTTTAAATTAGATGTTCGATTCTTTGGGATTTGTTTGTTGGTAATTATGAGTTCAAACTAACTCAGCGGATCTAAAAGCTAAAAACCCAAACTAAAAGCTGAAAATCAAAACTAGAAACTTAAAAATTTAAAACCAAAAACTAAAATCTAAAACCAAATCTAAAAATAAAAATTGAAACTAAAAACTAATGCAAAGCAATCATCACCACAAATTTTGGATTACTGATTTTATACCAAAACACACTTTAAATAAAGACAAAACCTAATTAAACTTTTAATCAAAAAAAATTTCCGCGCTTTCAAGCGCGGGTCAAAATCTAGTCATTATTTATCTTAATGCAAATGTAAAATGTGCAATGATCATCTAGATGTTCTTTGTTACCAAAAAATATGTTATACTAGTTAATGAATTATTTTCTTGGTCGAAGTATGAGTATGTTTTACCACTATAGACGTCTTAAACAAGAAGGAAAAAGAGCATGGTTATCTACATCTTCCAATGCTGACTATTTTTCCTTTACGAGTTGATAGATACTGCCTACGTTTACTACGAGGCGCTTGGGTTTGGATCAATTAACTATGCAGCAACGACTACTGTTAATAGTATTATTGGGAAATACATGTTTTGACCATCTATTTGAAAATTTTCACTATTATAAATACCACCATCGATCCTTCTTATTTTCATTCACTCAAATCTTAAAACCTCTTTAAAGTCGTCTAACTAAGAATTAAAGAATGGGAGGAAAATGTGGTAGTGGTGGAGGTGGGAAAGGCGGCGGCTGTGGTGGAGGAGGGAAAGGCGGCAGTGGTGGTGGCAGTGGAGGAGGTAGGAGTGGCGGTAGTGGTGGCCATGGAGGAGGAGGAGGAGGAGGAAAAAGTGGTGGCGGTTGTGGTGGAGGTGGCTACATGGTGGCCCCGGGGAGCAACGGGTCCTCTTACATTTCAAGAGATAACTTTGAGAGTGACTCTAAAGGTTACTTTGATAATCTGTATGGTAGTGGACAGGGCAGCAAGTAACTTTGTTCTATGTAATTCACTCTCTCTATGCAGTGAACATGCTTATGGTTATTATTACCAGATAAATTATCTAATGATCAAATAAAATGATGTTTTTTTTATTTCATCCTTCTTCATACCTCAGTGATTCTAATTCGAGCAAGTGGTTGTGGATGACTAACAATAACTTTTATTGCTCCTAGTCATCCTTTTGATCATGCAACTTGAAGTTTTTTAGTGTTTATTTAAAAACAACAAACCAGAAGATCATATTGTTGATTCATGTCCTGACATGGAAACGGAAAAAGGAGAGAAATGAACACTGATGAAGGCTAAAAAGAGACATAATAGTACATGCTCAGAGAGAAAGACCAGATTCTTCATCCTCATCGAGAGATGAAGTGTAGGTAAAGTAGAAAGTCCAGATCAAACCAAACACTCCCAAAAGAATCCAACCCAAGAGGTTGTTGCTCAGCCCAAATGGTAATCCTGTTCCTTCCGTGGACATCCTGTCATCCACCAACGCTAAGGCTGGGTTGCTCATCACAGCCGTCAGAGCTGCAGTCGCCGCTGCGGAAACTCCAGCTCCCATTGCTGAGACGTTTCCTTGCTTTGGCTCCATTGAGCATCTCACCCCTCCCTTCCTCTTACTCATTGGAGGTAAACCTGAGGGCAACAATTATCAAACTTTTATGATTGGTTCTCACCACAGGTCCACAACCGAACTTTTAGTCAAAATGGTTTCTTGATTCTCCACCAAACTACTAAAGATCTTACTTACTCATCAACGAATATAAAGCAAACCAAAGATCTTCGCTTTGCACATGACCAGATTGAGTTTCTAGTATAAGATGACATCTCTTATAAAGAATGCTTAGAAGAAGATAAAAAAAGGGAAAGGACTTTACCAAGAACAGGAGCAGAGACGGTGGGCTTAAGAAGTAGAGCAGGACGAGCAACAGAGACGGTGGAAGCAGAGGCAGTGAAGCTAGCCATTCTCTTTTGTTCCAACACTAAGTACAAACTCTCTTCAATCTGAGATTTTGGTTTCTGTGTTTGTGTTTCTACAGCAACAATTAGCACAACCTTTGATTTCTTTTGCTCGTGTTGGCTTTTTGAAGACTCAATCAGTGGTGGAAACAATCTCTAAAGAACCAATACAAGCCAACCTACTTGGATATCATTCTATCCATATTCCACCAATAACCTCACTCCACGTGTCATGTTTCATCTCTTTCCCTCCCAACACAATTCCCTCCCAACACAATCTTTTTCTTTCTCCTCTACTCGTGTGGATTATATATTTATATATATAAAAACATTAAAAAAAAATCATTTGAACTGCATCCATATCACACAGCGCAACGCACAGCTGTTATTAACTAAATCTGACATTAAGCTCTCAACAATAATCGGTGTGTATTGTATGATATCAAAAAGACCCAAACTTTACATGAAGAGATAATGTGAAAAAAATGAAGCTAATTATAACGTCAACAAAGAAATGAATTGAATTGAATCCTAAGTTCTGTGGGAACTCTGTTTTGGGAAAAATCAATCGTGAATGTTGCAACGTTGCAAGTATGGGTGATGGTAAGCTACATGTACGTTCCAGTACCGCTTGTATTTGTCTATCCTGATGTCCAGCCACGGCTTCATGATCCCGTCGTAGTGTATAACCGCTGCTTCTTCGATGTCTCCTGCTTTGACTCCTGATTCGTGTCCTAACCCCACTACATTCCATCTCTTCTCCAATGGTATCATTTTCCCAAAGAATGTCAACCAACCTAGTGGCAAGCTCCCCGCTTTCCACAGATGTCTTTCTACTCCCTGCACCCAAAACAAAGTCACAGACATATATGCAAAAACCATTATTTCATCATCATGATCCATTTCATGTTGAAGGCTACACAGCACACTTCGAGACGTTTTGAAGGGAATGAAATGTTATGTACCAGTTTGAAGTAGCTCCAGTACACAGATGTCAACTCCTGTCTTCTCCATTCTTTGAGATCAAACAGATTCATCCCGAACGCCCAAGTGCAAGCCTTAGGGTCACATCTCTTAGCAACCCATTCATCTGAGAAGTTAATGAGTGTGTCCATCGCAATATATGAAGGTTCACCTTCGACACAAGTCTCTACAGCTCCAACAACTTTCCCATTCATATCGAGGCTCCACAGTTTGCTTAGATCTCTCTGAACTACTACATCATGGTCAAATAATACGATCTTGTCCAGACCTGGGAATATATTCGGCAGATAGAAGCGTGCATGGTTGAGCGCTGAAATGACTCGCGGGTCACTTGAGTTTTGCTTCATCAGCAATTGAGTATGGTCTAAGGGAAGGACATTCATATCATCAATGTTTAGGATCTGGATTGTAGCTCTGCTTTCCGGGTTTAATATAAACCACATTGATATTGCTGGGTAATTGAGTGAATCCGTCACCACGTGGAATACTATTTTTCCCGGGTCCTGCAAGCAACAATATAAACCGTTAATATATATATGTGTGGGTGGCTGCAGCAGAAGCTTGGATCATGCATTAATAAATGTCCCAAGTGATGATACTAGATATTGTAAGATGCTTAACAATGATAACTAAGTAACAATATGGGTTGTTGGTTTCAAACATGAAAACATGGAACAGGACAAGATGTTTGAACATTAATCTGAAAGGACGAAGTTGTTTACTCAACAAAGAGCACACACTATGTAACTTCCTTTTTCCTGGTTCCATTACCGGACAAAATCTTATGGTCTTAACTACGGTAGAAGCCTTAAGCATTTGTCTAGATATCAAATTCGCAAGTATAAAGGAATTAAACCGGAACCTGTTGAGAGAAAGAGAACAAAAGTGAAGCATCTACCTTTGACGAGGAAATTGTAGAGTTAACAACAACCGCACAGGCCAAAACATTGTCTGAGAAGACAACGTAATGGTAGAGATCAGGATTGTTATAACTTTGTTGAAAAGGCTTTGTTCCTTCATGATCCAGGGTAAAGTATTCTGTTGTCAAACGCATTGAGAGGCAGTGAAGTCCTTTTGGGGTAGTCCTTGCTGCAAGGTGCATTAGATGTGCTGCTTGCTTCTTCTGCGCCCGAGCTTGTTCTTCGGATTTATAAGTCATGGCATGGAGTTTGGTAGCAATGGCAGGGCAGTTGTGAAAGACCCGACTGACTTTGTATAATGCAAGTTCCATGGCCTTCAATCTTTGAGGGGAGCTGAAAGAAACATTTTTGTATGACTCTTCTTAATCAGCATAAACTTTTCAGTTAACGTTCTGGCTCTGAAATTAGATGCCAAAGCTATGGAACCGAGCCCTTTGTATCAGTTACTTGTGCTTACCTCTTCGACAAATGTTTATCTTTGGTGGCATCACCGACAGCCCGTTCCAGCTCTTTTGTTCGAACCCTCAACTCCTTCACAATTTGAGAGTTGTTCCCAGGCAGGGCCAAATTCAGATAGGCTTTAGCTTGGATGATTTTGTCTCTGATCTCCTTTATCCTCTCATCTGTTGCTCTTCCAGGCTGAGCCCTTGAATTCTTTTCACTCTTAGCTAAAGGGCGCTGGAACTTGGTATTATGACTAAGTTGAGTATCTTTTGCTGAAAATTTCTCCTGAGACAAAGTAAAAAAGAAAACGATATACATAACCAAAGCAGAGGATCTGACTATCTTGATGCAAAGTTTATTTGCCTTTCTTATTAACAAGTGATGGCACGGCCCATGGAAGAAAGTGGCATGTTATTTGATTTTAAAAATTATCACTGTGAACTGCTTCAAGACAATCACTACTCAAGTACTGAATTGAAATACGCACCGTTGCATCAGAGCTTACGTTGGTTTGCTGTGAAACTACTGCTTGCTCCTCCTTGGTTTTGTTATTGTTCCCTAAAATCAATGGTATCACCAGATAAGAAAGCTTGCACAGTAATGGCAACAAAATAAACACCAGAGCAGAAACATATTACCCCCACTAATTTCTGAGAGAAGATTTGTTGTGTCTCCCTCACTAGACTGCGAATCATCACGACTTTCATTAAAAGAACTAGACCTAACCACGGGATTCAACTCATCATCCTTCAGAATTCGTTTAGGCTCCTTGAAGCCTTCTCCGTCCTAAGTAATCAAAGCAAACCAATTCAACAAAAATGAATGCTCCAAGAAAGTCTAAAGAATACGGTTGGCAGCGAGTATAACCTGTTCGAAGGCGGTAAGTCTAAGATCATCATTCGTCTTATATCTCTGCATAAGAGAAGGTAGCATAATACAATCAAATAAGAGATCCTGAAGAGGATCAAAAGAGAAGAAAACAAGGATCTAATCTCAAGATATACGTACAATATCGGACACTTCTTCAACGAATTCTCCTCTATCTGCCACAGAAAAACAAAATCAAAACAACTTTTCAGATGCGTTATCCAGAACCTATAGATTCAATCAATGCAATTGAGCAAGCCTATAGCGATTCCATAGATTCAATCAACGCAATCGAGAAAGCCTAATGCGATTCCATAGATTCAATCATCGCAATCGAGAAAGCCTAATGCGATTCCAGAGATTCAATCAACGCGATCGAGGAAGCCTAATGCGATTCCGGAGATTCAATGAAAGCGAGGAAGCAACAGTTCTTCTACACGTGATACTATATCTAAATCAATTAACCTAACATCGTCGAGATCAAAAGAATCGGAACAAGAAGAAGAAGAAGCTCACCGACGGAAGTGATGCTCTTGATCCGATTCGAGAGGAAGACAATGGGAGCGACGACGGATAACAAAAGCAACGAGAGGATCAAAATCCTCCTCCAGCGACGGATTTGATTCATCAATGTGCGAGAGAACTCTTCTTCATCTATTTCCTTTTAATCCTTCTCCACGAAGAAGAAGATGAACAAGGACAGCACATTCCCCCACACAGATCTCGGAGATTCTCTACCTTGATTAACAAGCAATCGATTGAACAGATTAGGGTTTTCAAGATCCTTTGTGCAATGCGAGCGAGTCTAGTCTATGTCCTGTGATTCAAAAGCTTCCTCGTGGTGCATGTTAGGGGGGGGGGACTTCTGCTCTTCTTCTTTCTTTTCCACTTACTTAATAAAGAAAAATTAAATAATGATAATTAATCTTTATAATTTGTATTTATTATGATCTGTTTGGGATATTGATTCATGAAGAGACGATATGGATCTGGTGCGGGGCGGTGTACATGTGACAATTATAATACCGTTGATGGAGGCGCAAATTTACTACGACTATCTTCTTCTGATTGGTTCTTCGGAAAGTTCTCACAAGCAGCCATTTATGTATAGACACGTTGACTCAGTCTATGGCCCACAAGATGTTCAATGGTGGAAGGTCACAGCTTGTACTTTGGAGGAACGTTTTGACTGAAGATGCGGGAAGTTTACTCATAATGAAGAGGACTGAATTTGAAAGTGGGAAATACTTAATTTGAGCTTAATATTAGTTTCAAAATGCATTGATCTTAATCATATTTTTAATCTTAAATACTACTAATATTAGTTAACTATGTATAGTTAATATATTTCAATCATTTTCTTAATATGTGTGAAAATATCAAATTGACATTTATTCACAACAAGGAAATATAACCAACTCCGACTTAAAGATTAATTGATTCTATGCATTTTTTTCTCTCCAAGATTGTATTCCTAACTTGTAAGCATCTCAAAACTGAAATCCTAAAACAATAAAAAAAATGAACCAAAAATGTGGACATTGTGTTTTTGCACTGCCAACACACCCTTAGAATCGGCACCGAGTATTACATAGTGTGGTAGTGTTGATCTTAAATTTTTGATCTAAAATATTACAAAATTCTTTATTTGATTAAATTGCCACTTTGTTTTAGTTTGATAAATTTCTGCTGAACTGTGTCAAAAAATCTACTGAACTAGAGCTTTTTATTTGATAATTAAAATAATTAATTTTGTTAAAAATATATGCACTTGTGTCATTTATGGTTCATATTTTGTTTGATTTATAATTTCTCTAAAAACTGTATATGATTTGTAGGATGACTTCACTAAAGAATTTTAAACAAAATATATACCTAATTAATCATAAAGATAATTAAAATTAAAAGCCAATTTTAAAAAAAAGAACACAAATTGGTGTTAATAAATTAAAAATAATATAGGGGATAGCAAGTTACAAAAAAAAAAATATTGGTAATCAATTTTTAAAAAAATTTCTTAATATATGTGAATTTTTTTAAACATTGAACATTTTGAAACAGAAGAAATATTAAAATAGAAGTAGAAATGAGTGGAAAAAAACGAGGAAGAACAAAATAAAAGGAATAAAAAAAATATTTATTATTTCTAATCTATATCAATGTTGATAAAGATTGTTTTTTTCTATAATTCTCTAAAATTTAAGGAATGACAATGAATCACACTGAGCAAATATTTTTTATAAAAGGTGTAATCTCTAACGAAATAGTAAGAAAATGATCATTCTCCTCTATGTCACTAGTTACAGTCTTAGTACAAAAATATATAATGAAAATGTTTACAACGAAGACCAACACTAATTTTTTTTGAACAACATTAATTAAACCATTCAATTTTTAATATATAATAACTTTTAATAGAGTTTAGTGTTCTGTTCCTATGGAATTCTATTTTATAGTACACTCAATTTTTTATTCTTTTATTATAGAGTAAAAATAGTATGGGAATTGAATATTTTTACTGCAAACTCTATTTTACAATGAAAAATAAATTGAGTCTGGAAATACTATAGACATTCATAAATGTTTATAACAAGAAGTGTTTCAGTCCCTTGATTACAATATATGAACTATAGATCTTCTCAAATAACTTACTTATGTTTTTGGATTTGATATAATTTATTTATAATTTTTCTTTACATAATCATTATTTATAGCAAGCTTTTGAACAAGCAAAAGTTTTCAATGCTTGATCTTCAAATTTACTTACCACAATGTATTACATTATACTTTGCAAAAATTTGATTGCTAATTTTTTAAATGAATTGTATAATTATTGCATCCAATCATTGAGAACCAAAAACTCTGTCAACTCATTTGTTTGCCTCTGTAATTTATAAAAAAATTGTTAACAAGATGATTCACTTTCTTCCTATTACAAAGTTGGGAAATTGGGCTCTTTGGCCATAGAAAAAAAATTAATTGGGCCAGTAGCAAAAAACCCTAACGGAAAGGTTCACCCCGTTACTTTTCTATATTATTACAATATTCTCCCCCAAAACAACCGTTTTCACCGGTTCGAATTGTTAAAAAAAGTTTTCTTAAATTATTCAATTGATTACACCCCCTAAATCGTGTCTTAACCCTCTCCACCAATTGTTTCAAGATTCCCACTTCTTTCTCTGCAAACGAACCGTCTCCGACATCGACAACCCGACCTCTTCATCTCTACAAAGTTTTCGTTTTCTTTTCCCCCAAAATCAGAGCAACCGTGTCTTCTTCTCTCCCAAATCCGTGTCTCTGTCGGTGTCCTCATCTTCCCCATCTACTCCGGTACTTCAATTGAAGCTTCCTCTGTGTCCACTCTGCATCCTTTGAATTCAAGCTTTAGTATCATGTTCGTCCTTCTCCCCTATCTTGCCAATTGCATGTAAATNTTTCGTTTTCTTTTCCCCCAAAATCAGAGCAACCGTGTCTTCTTCTCTCCCAAATCCGTGTCTCTGTCGGTGTCCTCATCTTCCCCATCTACTCCGGTACTTCAATTGAAGCTTCCTCTGTGTCCACTCTGCATCCTTTGAATTCAAGCTTTAGTATCATGTTCGTCCTTCTCCCCTATCTTGCCAATTGCATGTAAATTCTATAGTTTTCATAACTAGATCCATACGGTTTTGGTCCATTCCAAGCACAATGGAATAGAAAATCCAGATTTGGGATATTTTCTATGTTATTTAGGGTTTCATCCAGACTTGCGCATTCCATTCCATTTGATGTGGAGTTTACATCAAAAGCTTCGGCTTCTATTTGCGTTTTCTGGTTTAGGATTTTGTTAAGGGTTAACTTATTTGTGATTAGGGTATAGTGTTAAGTGGGTCTGTTGGATTTAGGGTTAACTTATTGGAGATTAGGGTATAGTATCTAAATAAATATATATTCCATTCCATGTACATAGAATGGAATACCTTTCTATACCATTCCGGATGGATTGGATTATTACCCCACGCGCTTCATTAGTTTCGTTATTTAACTTCACCACAGAAAACAACCACGTCCTTTAATATTTGTATGTAATTGGATACCTGTTGATGGAAGGGGTAAAACCGGATAGAAAACAGCGTAAAAGTCAGACACCACATTATGTCAAAATCAATGTCAGAAAACTAATTTAGGTCCAAAGTTTGGCTATCTCGCCAATAAGCCCNGCGCTTCATTAGTTTCGTTATTTAACTTCACCACAGAAAACAACCACGTCCTTTAATATTTGTATGTAATTGGATACCTGTTGATGGAAGGGGTAAAACCGGATAGAAAACAGCGTAAAAGTCAGACACCACATTATGTCAAAATCAATGTCAGAAAACTAATTTAGGTCCAAAGTTTGGCTATCTCGCCAATAAGCCCTAATTTTACCTTTCTCTATCGTAAAAAAAATACAAATCGCAGAGTAAAAAAGAATAGTCGCTGCTTGACTTTGTAAAACCCTAGCAAATTTCTCCGGCATTCTGTTCACACGAAACTGGAAAAAGAATTAAAATTTTTAAAAAGTGAAAAAATAAACAAAAACATGAGGAAACGTCTTTTTACTCGATTACGAGGGGAGGGTATGGTTTCTCATCTCCAACAAAGACCCTTTGATTAATTATTCAGAGGAAAGCCTTTAACCCTTTCTTCCTTGTTCGATTTCAGATCGTCTCCTCCAAATCTCAACACTATTAAACAAACCCTCCTCCCGAAAATCACCAACCCACCTCGTTTCTCCGTCTTCTTCTTCTTCTGCATCACCCTATCTCGCTCGATTGCGACCATTTCCCGTTCAAATTCCTCCATCTGATTCGGATTTGAAAATTGAAGTGTCTTTATCGGCGAAGAGACAAAGGTGGACGTAAATCTGGAAGCTTTGTCGTGTTTTTTTCGTGTACATGCAGAGTTTTGGGGGAAAGTTACGTGAGATTGATTAAAAGAGAGAGAGAGAGGAATGGAAGGAGAGATGGTAGGTAAAGTGAAGAGGGAGAAGGTTGTAGCATGCATGACTTGTCCTCTCTGCGATAACCTCCTCCGTGACGCCACCACTATCTCCGAGTGCCTTCACACCTGTTCGTTCTTCTTCACACCTTTTTATTTCCGCAATTTCTGGGCTTTTATTGAGTTTCTCTGTGTTTATTCCATCTGGGTTACTCTTATCTCTATCGATTTGGTGAAAATTTCGATGAATAGTTTGTTTGTCGACCAAAAGATTTAAACTTTGCTTACATTTTACGTTTGATTTTCGCTCAATTGCTGGGCTTTCTCGTGTATACCGTTGTTTGATTGAGTTTCCGTGTGTTTGTATCATTTTTGGATTGTTCTTATTTGTTGGAACTGTTGATGAATAGTTTGTGTGTTTGTTGACCAAAAGATGTAGACTTTGTTTACATGTAGCCTGTAAAGAGTAGTCTTCCTTTGTTCTGTTTATTTAGGTATTTTTGTTTTGAAATTTTGGTGGGTGTTTTTTTCTTCGTCGTCAACGATGGTATTGTTGTGGGTCGTTGAATTTGGTTTTGGCCTAATCATGTTGTTAGTTAGGTGTCATCTGCTTTGTTTGTATCGTCCAGCATGTAAGTTTTGTGTTGCCAAGTTCAAGTACCAAGGGACCATTACTGTTTAAATTTATGCATTCTCTCACTCTGTTATTGTGATGTTTAACTAAATTAACAGGTAAAATCTTATTGTTCTGATCCAAGAAATGTAAATGTTAACAGTAGCGATATTCCATAGCATTGTTATTCAAGTTTCTGACAATTTAGCAGCCTTTCCTCTGTTGTAGGTTTACTGCAGTACCATAATTACTAGTTCTTATTTGATTTGCAGTTTGGTTTTTGGGGATACACGCATTAGGACTATTAATCGTGCTTCCTTAGGCTGTTAACTATCTAAGAGCACTATTTACATGAAACTGGATGTTATCTAATCACTACAAGCTCTTGCCTTGACAGCATTGCTATGTAGGAGTAGGAAAATCTGTACTTGTATCTAATTAATTTGGGATAAATTTCCAAATTTGGCACTCAAGTCAACCATCTTACTTCAAACCTCTAAACATTGCTATTCATTTTGTAGTTTAACATGATCCCCAGAAACTGTCTGTTTTATCTTTTAAGTAACTTGGTCGCATTTGATATAAATACATTCTGTTCTTACTTGATAGTTACTATCTATTGAAATGAGATTAGTTATTAGATCATTTTTATGCAGTTTGTAGAAAATGCATATATGAGAAAATCACAGAGGATGAGATAGAGTGCTGTCCCGTATGTGACATTGATCTCGGGGGAACCCCGCTGGAGAAACTAAGGTAAGTTCTTCTTCTCCTCTATTACTACTACACAATTTACTCAAGAAGCTTGGTATAGCAGTGATTCCTTTTTTCTATGTTATAGTTTAACCATCGACTTTTGGAAGCTCTTGTGGCTTTTGCTGATTTAGAAACAAATAACTTTAACGTAATGCTTAAAAGTCGTTCACCATTATACTGGATGACATCCAGTGGATGTAAATACGGAAGGTTTTTCTATATTTTTGGGGCATACGTGGAATTATCATGTATACTTTATTTGATTTAGAACTTAGAAGCAGTTGGCTTTTGCTGACATGAACTATTTTTGGCTAGAACTATAATTGATTCACTTTTTTGCTATCTGTCTCAAAATAGACTACTAGTTATTATACCAGTACGACATTTGTTGATGGGGAAATTATGCATTCGCTAATTAAGGAACCACTCTTTTTTTTTAAGGAACCACTCTTATTCATGTATTTTCAGGCCCGACCACATTTTGCAAGACTTGAGAGCTAAAATATTTTCTCTAAAACGAAAAAGAGAGAAGGCTCCTGAACTTGTGTCCTCAATCACATTACCTGCAAGGAGGAAGGAGAGGTCTATCTCGTCTTTGGTGGTAAACACACCTAGGGTTTCAGCACAAACTGGTACAACAGGAAAAAGAACAAAGTCTCTCATGAGAAAAGATGTACGTGGTAGTGGTTCATTCACTAAGAGAACTGTGAAGAAGGAAGAAGAAGATTCTGGAGATTATCATACAGAGAGCGCAAGCTCGCCTGAAACACTTAAAAATTTTACTCAGAAGAAAAGGCAGGTAAAGAAGGTGATTACTCTCTTTACCTTACACTATGGAAAGTAGTTTCTGCATTTTTAGCTTTAAAGTGATATGATCTTCAGATAGTTCCCCATATACAGTATTTTAGTTATTTATTCTTTTTTTTTGTTTGCAGTCTTCATATGCAGAGCCTAATCAGTCTCTCTCTAATCGAAGAAACAAGGATGTTGCTGAACCTTGGGATTCCAAATTACATCTTTGGAAGCCTTTAAATTTTCTTGTGGATGTGGCAAACGGCACAAAGTCTTCTAGCTCTCAAGGGTTGGAGTTGAACCCAAACTCTGAGCATGGAAATGCATCTCACAATGATGTCCAGGGGAACAAAACCAAAGCAAAGGATCATAAACGAAAATGTAAATTTGAGGAAAGCGCTAATGGTGATCCTACAAAAACAGAAACTGCTGCGCTTAAAAGAACACGAAGGACTCGCCGGAAAAGGTCATCCACTTTTGGTGATTCAAGAACTCCACCATTACCGGATGCAGAAAGCCTGAAACAGGAGAGGAGGAATGGTCCGGTTTGGTTCTCACTTGTGGCTTCAAATAATCAGTGAGATTCTTGCTCTGTATCTGAGTATTTTTAAACCAGTGTTCAAGTTTTTGTCTTATCGTTTCCTTTCTGTGTCTTGGTATCTTGACAAGGCTTCCTGGTTTCAGGGAAGGAGAAACATCACTGCCTCAGATTCCAGCAAACTACTTGAGAATAAGGTAAATTTCCTTCTTATTTTTGTGGTGTTCAATTCTCAGTAGTGTCTTCTTTTTGGAAGAGTTAAAATTGTGCAAGAGTTGATCTGCTGTCTCATTTTATGATAGGGATGGAAACATTCAAGTTTCTTTTATCCAAAAGTACCTCATGAGGAAGCTTGATCTCAAGAGCGAAACTGAGGTAATCAACCTTTTATCTACAGTTGCTACTTTACTGTTTCTAGCTTGTATCCACTGGCACTGAGGTCAATCACATAGGCCGTACTTTTATAAATCGAGTCCATCCCCACATTTAATAGGGTGATTGTAAGGTCCATAATTGTTTAAGTGTATTATCTTGAAACTTTTATGGATCACGAGCCAGTGAGCCACAACTATAAAGCTAATGGGTCTCACTGGTTTGTTCACTTTATTATTAATTTGTAACAGGTAGAGATAAGATGTATGGGAGAACCGGTGATACCAACGTTGCAGCTTCACAGCTTAGTGGAGCTGTGGTTGCAAACAACAACTTCTAAACATGAAAGAGTCACTGCATCGATAGGTTCCTCTGCAAAGGAGTTTGTTATGGTGCTAGTTTATGCTCGGAAGCTCCCTGAATGCAACAACTAAAATAACTGTTCAAGACTCTTATGCAGAAGAAACAAAATCCTTCTACTTACATTGAATCATTTATTAGACCCAGAGGAGGAATTGTAGTGCAGGAGCAGTGGAATGCGTTGTGTAGTTTAGTAATAAAATTACATGTTTGTATAATCTTAAAAATGAATAATAGGTGAGACAGATAGACACTTTGTTGTCATGAGAATATGCAAAATTGTTTTTCTGATTGGTGTCCTTTTTGGATTTGATGTATGGTTGGATAGGAGGACAATGTTGTCATTTCTATGAACATTTGTTTCCTACCGAATTCTTGTCAACCCCCCTCCCAAAAAGTCTTTAAAAAGAGTTTACCAATTCAGTTTGAAACTTTATTAATCTGTGTAACATAAAAATTGGAACTTCAAAACTAGCTTTGGATGCTGAAAATGTTTTACATAGCAAAAGGAACCGTTGAAACGTTTGTTTACTAGAAATATTTCTTTTTGTCTTCATGTAGCTTTTAACTTTATGCTAAACACATCATTTGATTCTTACTATAAGAATCCGTAGAAGAGAAAGAAAGACACGTTGTGGTAAAATTAGTAACCGTTAGAAAGAAAAAAACTTTTGCTTTTGCTTCTACTTTTGTTTTTGGTTTTACTTACAAAAAGTAAACTCTGAATTGACCGTTATTAACCTTCGTATATAACGATGAGGCATATAGAGGATAGTAGAGCCATAGATATTATGCTATATATGAAACTGCAAATTTTTTTCCTTATATGAAACTAAATTTGATTTAAATAAGTTTATGTATATTAGTATTTTTGTGAAACCTGTATATTAGTATACTATTATGAAACTGCTAAATTTTTCCTTATATGAAACTAAATTTGATTTAAATAAATTTTATGTCAGGAGTTTGATTATTACAGAGAAGACTAATTGCTTCTTCACGATAGTTTAATTAATTAATTAAAAATAAAGCCCCGAATCTTACCGAAATTAAGGTCTTTGAATGGGACCCACCTCTGTAAGACGCCGGTTTCGTCCCTTCTCCTTTTTCTCTCTCTCTTTCTCTGCTTTTTTCCAAAATAATAAAGTTTATTTTTTTTTCCTTTAAAAATGATTTCTTCACTGTGGTTAATAAAAGATACAATCAGAAGGAAGCTTTGAGTTTATTGCAGAAGCTAGAGAGAGTGTGTTGTGTCTAAGAAAAGTCTTCTCTTTCACACCTTTCGTTTTCTCGAACCTCTTTAAAGAGAAGATGGTGGTGGAATCTTGGGTTTGACAACTCATTACCAGCCCCCTCTCTCTCTTTTAAGCTTCCAAGCATCCAACAAGGTCCTCATCTCTCTCTCAATTCCTTCTCCTTTTGGTGTATCAAGTTTGATTTTCCCTTTGATCTTGTAGTTAAGAAGCAATCTTTTCGTCTTCAAGCTTAAAGAAAGGCAACTTCTTTTTTTTATGGGTTTGTGTAAAAACGGAAACTTTACTATCTGGGTCTTTCCCATTTCGGTTTCTAAGACAGATTAGTAGTTGAGAAAATTAGGGTTCTTTCTTTAGCTTTTAAGACATGGAGGAGATAGAAGGAACCAACAGAGCAGCTGTTGAGAGTTGTCATAGAGTTCTTAACCTCTTATCTAGACCACCACATCACCAACAAGACCATGGGAGTTTAGTGTCTGAAACTAGAGAAGCTGTTTCTAGGTTCAAGAGAGTTGGGAGTCTGTTGAGTAAAAGTGTTGGTCATGCTAAGTTTAGAAGAGGAGCCAATAAGAAACCTCTGTCCCAACATTTGTCTCAAACCATCTTCCTTGACCCTTGTCTCCAAAGAACTCAGCTTCCAGAATCATCTCAGAAAGCACCGGTTCTCCGGTCTGGTTTGAGCTTGAGACCAACTGATTCTCTCACTTTAGGGACCCGGTCTTTCAGTTTAAAAGCTCCTCTCCTTCAGCTTAACCACCAGGCAGTGCCTACCTCGAACTATCAGCAGCAGTTACACGAAAGGTTGCAAGCTCACCATCTACATCAGCAGCAGCAGCAACAAAGACATCAAGCTGAGATTATGCTTAGGAAGTGCAATGGAGGGATAAGTTTAAGCTTCGATAACTCGAGTTGTACACCAACCATGTCATCAACTAGGTCCTTTGTTTCATCGCTTAGCATAGATGGGAGCGTGGCTAATAATGCAGAAGGAAGAAACTCTTTCCATTTGGTAGGGGAACAGAGTTTATCACACTCTAAGAGAAAATGCCTCTTGAAAGGAGACGAACATGGAAGCTCTAGCAGATGCCACTGCTCTAAGAAGAGGTTAGTTGCATATCTTTTTGTATTTTCATGTCAGAGAGTCTCTCTCTTAATGCATAAAAACTTGTTTGGAAAATTGACAGGAAACATAGGGTTAGGAGATCGATCAGAGTGCCGGCTATAAGTAACAAGGTTGCAGATATCCCTCCTGATGATTATTCGTGGCGAAAATATGGTCAGAAACCCATCAAGGGATCTCCTTATCCCAGGTAATACACTTCTTCTTGATCACTCTCTTTTTCTGGAAAGTGTGGTGTTGAGATATTTGTGTGTGTGCAGGGGATATTACAAGTGCAGTAGCATGAGAGGTTGTCCAGCGAGGAAGCACGTAGAGAGATGTGTGGAAGATCCAGCAATGCTTATTGTTACTTATGAAGCAGAGCATAACCACCCGAAACTGCCATCACAAGCCGTAACTACGTAACTTTCATTGATCCTGTGTGCGCTATGATGATAGATGGACCTTGAATCTGCTCTAATATTGTGTGATAAAATGATGGGAGCAGTGCTTTTAGTTTGGGGTGGATTTGCTTGTGAGAGAGAGTTTATTGCAGTTGTTTGGTATCGTTTAAGGGGTAAACGTAGGATTTGTCAAAACTTTTTTTGTTCTTATTGCTATCAAGTGTAATGCTCTTAATGCTTCGCAATTTTTCTATTAATCTCAGCTTCCATTTGAGGAATAGAGTCTTATAAAATACCAAAAATTCATAGAACACGTTACTTATGGATACTAGAGGTGGCCTATAAAACAAACGAAAGGAAGAAATCAATATAATACCCAAACATTTAGTTGATGCTTTTAACATCCTGAAAAGTTCGGTTCAATTTGGTTGAGAACCAAAGAAAGAAATCAATGTATTTATAAGATGGCAAATCCCATAAATAACTTACTTTCTGAGGGGAGTGTATTAAATCTGAAATTTAAAGTGATTTGATTTTTTATAAGTTTAAAGTTTTTAGATGATTGTAATAATTGGAAATTTTGGTGTGATTTTGTTAAAAGATTCTAAAATTTCATCTAAAAGACTAAAACTATGGGATTTGGATTTTATTTTATAATTAATAAACTGCTATCAAACATTTTGGAAACACTTAAACCATTCTAAAATCTCCAATTTAAATTTTATTCAATAATAGTAGATTTTAGAGTGTTTTATCAAATGATAAGTTCAATAATACTGGATGTTAAAATGTTTTTTTTTTTTAATTCTGGTTTAATAACAGTAGATTTGTCATTTTAATATAAACAACCTCAAATTTTTAGTTGAATACACTCCATAGATTTTGTCACAAAAATAGCATATAGAAAAACAAATTCTCAGATTATCATTTATTATTGAAAAAGATATAATAAATTATTTTACATTCTAAATTCTAATTTCATGGTTTAAATATTAAATTTCGAACTATAATTATTAAATTAAATAAACTATAATATATGAATTCTTTACGGATAATTCTTTCAAGTAGTCCATTTTTAAATTTTAGTTAACTTTAGAAATATAAAAGTATATTTATTCAATAAAATCCTTTTTCGGTTATTTTCTTTTTTTGAAAACTGTTTTTGTGAAAAATGAACTAAAAATATTACTATAGAGAATTCCTAGTTATTTATTTTCTATATTTTAGCAATTATTATTTTGAAAAAAAAATGCACTGTCATGTTTTTACAAAAAACTTGATTTAATCGATGTTTCATTTTATAATATATTAATATTAAGGTATTGTTACTTTCTGATTTAAACCTATGTTTTTGGCACAAAGATTTTATGTAGTATATTTCATTTTAAAAATATTAATGATTGTTGGTTTTATTTTATGTATTGTAAATTGACTTAAAAACGAACTACATTTTTGAACCCAAAACAAAAAACTTGAACTAAACCAACAACATCATAACTAAAACTGAATACAAATCAAACTAATACCGGTTGAATTCAGTTAGATTTTAATAAAATCGGGTTAATCAAACCGTACCGAACCGGAAGTTAAATCGAAATGTCCACCTCTAACAAATTACTACTTTATGCTTCTTAACACTGTTTTGTCCGAACAATCAAAGCTCACTTTACACAATTACATGGTAAACCAACGAGTTTATGATGGGGCCTAATACTAATATTTCTGGCCCATTAATCTTCACAAAGATAATATATTTTTTAAAAACAAAATATCTCATCAGTTCTATCATCAATGTCGTCGTCTTCTTCTTCATCATCGTTTACGGTTCTTTACTTTCCAATTTTGTCTCTTTCTTATTATATATCTCAAAGGATTAGATCTCTTACACGATCATGAGTCACCCCTAATTTATTATTATAAGGTAACCCTTATCCTCCACCTCTTAAAATAGTTTTATAATCTCCCAAAATCTTTGTCTGTATTAGAGATTTCAGTGATCTGCATCTGATATTTCCATCTCTTTATTTTTCTCGTGTTCTTATTGTTACAGCCTTGTGGTGGAGATTTGACGGCGGAACTTCGTGGTGGGGTATGCGCCAGTTGTTTGTTGTTAATAAAATGGTTTCAGATATTTTCCGCCAAGTTGCTGTGTTTTCTAGTAGCTTCTGCCTTTGTTTAAATCTTTGAAAATGACCTTCACTTTCTTCAACATAAAAAAAGCTTTGCTCTTGTCTTAAACATAGCTTGAAAAAAAAAATCTTAGTTTGTGTGTTCTTGGTTGAGTTTGGTATGTGTTTGTGGAAATGTCTTAATGAGTGGATCCTATTCTTTGCTCCTTGATTTTTTTTTTTTGTTATTTTATATATATATAGGTTGATTTGCTTCTGGGTTTAGGTACAAGAAGAAAGAGACAGACTTTATGTAGAAACATGGTTGCTGCAAAAGAGAACAATTCTCTAACCGTTGCACCTTTCGAGTGTGCTTGGAGCGATGATCTCAAGTTCCGTGAAGCGGGTCGAGGCTGCGTTGCGTTTGACGCCTTTGCACACAACGATGTCACGGTGGTGTTCAGGGAAAATGTAGGGAGTCAGCATTACCATTACAAGAAAGACAACAGTCCTCATTACATTGTCATCATCGGTAGCAATAGGAACAGGAGGCTGAAGATTCAGGTTGATGGGGAGTCTGTGGTGGATGAAGAAGCTTCTGATCTCTGTCGGTGTTCTTTGGAGTTTGAGAGTTACTGGATTAGTATCTACGATGGGTTGGTTAGCATTGGGAAAGGTCGGTATCCGTTTCAGAACTTGGTGTTTCAGTGGCAAGACTCTAAGCCTAATTGTAGTGTTCAGTATGTTGGGTTGAGTAGCTGGGATAAACATGTTGGATACAGGAATGTGAGTGTGTTTCCTGTAACCAATAATCGTATCTCTTTGTGGAAGCAAGTGGATTACCGTGAGGTTAAAGGATTTGTGGAGGAAGAAGAAGGGATGGGTTGTGATTATGAACAATGGGGGCTTGGTAATTTTCTGGAGAGCTGGGAGTTATCTGACGTGATCTTTCTTGTTGGTGAAGAGGAAGTGGATGTACCTGCTCACAAGGTTATCTTACAAGCATCAGGCTGTTTTCCTTTGAGCTCATCAGATGGGGATGTCATTCAACTTGGTGGAGTCTCATATCCGATTCTTCATGCACTTCTTCAGTATATCTATACAGGAAGAACTCAGGTATTTTGTCTTTATACCCTCTTCCCTTAAATCCATGGTTCTAAAAATCGTCTGTATGCGGCAACTCGATCCTATCCAAAACGTTTTCTTAAATTGTACAAAATCGGTTAAAATTAATCTTAATTAGTCTAAATCTATTAAATTAAGAAATAATATTAATACAAATCCACAAATTTGTCTAATTTCTTTGTTATGTATATTAATTTGAATGATTCATCAAAATAGTTTTATAGTTAAACTCAAAAACTAAACTATCTTATGTAAATGTAAAATCTATATAAATAAATCAAAGTTAATCCTTTGCAAAGCGCCTAGTTACTACGTAGCTATTTCTTAAACATTGCTTAAATCAGTTGTGAGGTGTTCTACCATGTGATGCTCTGACATGAAGCTTGGAGATTCTTCATCTTCCTTATGCTTTTCTGCAACTTACGGTGTTTGTTTTTGATGTAGATTTTGGAATCAGAACTTGCTCCATTGCGGGATTTAAGTTCTAATTTTGAAGTGATTCCATTGGTGAGACAGTGTGATGAAAATATAAACCGCTTAAAACTAAGCAATGGAGCGTCTGATCCCTGCAAAAGTGTTGAACTGTCATGTCCAGTTTCTCACCCATTGTCTGGTTTTATGTTCCCAACTGCTTTCCCTGCTGATGTGGGTAAGCTGAAAACGTTCTACTCAAGCGGCGAGTATAGTGACATAGAAATCTGTCTCAGTGACCATGGTCTCACTTTCCAATCTCACAAAGTCATTCTTAGTCTTTGGAGTGTTGCATTTGCAAAGGTGAGAAACTATCTTTTGTGGTTACAGTTATGATGTTGATGGAGATACTGATTCTCTGTTTTCATTTATTGTCAATGAACATCCAGATGTTTACAAATGGGATGAGTGAAAGCCATTCGTCAACGATCTACCTAACCGATGTGTCACCAGAGGCGTTCAAGGCTATGCTTAACTTCATGTATAGCGGAGAGTTGAACATGGAAGACACTGTGAACTTTGGTACTGATTTGATCCATCTTCTCTTTCTAGCTGACCGATTTGGAGTTGTGCCACTTCATCAGGAATGCTGCAAAATGCTCTTAGAGTGTCTCTCGGAGGTGATTTTTTCTTCACAACCCTCTTTATAGTAAATCATATTTCTCTCTTTTGTTATCATGTTTCTCTTCTTTTCCAGCGCATCTGTTACACTATGGTTTATGTATGGTAGAGAGATTAACATGGAGTTGCGGTTTCAGCCTTCTGAAAATAAAAGAGAAAAAGAAACTAAGCGAATGATATTACAACATAAGTTGTTAAGAGATATTAATATTGTTCCATGTATATATTACATGCAGGGATGGTGTTCTCTTTTTGGAAGAAGATCATACAACAACAATAATTCTTTTATGCAAGTTTTTTTGGCGTGGAAGCAGACAAATTTGGAGAATTAGTAGGGCGTGTTGAAAGCTAACCTCTGAACTTTGTTGCAGGATTCTGTATGCTCAGTTCTCCAAGTGGTATCGTCTATCTCATCATGTAAACTCATTGAGGAGATGTGCAAAAGGAAGTTCTCCATGCACTTTGACTATTGTACCACGGCTAGTTTGGACTTTGTCTTGTTAGATCAGGCCACTTTCAGTGATATTCTTGAGGTGAGTTTTCTCTTGCACCACCTCTTTTTCTTATAAGAATCTCTCAACCTATTTAGGGACTTGACCCCCCAAAAATGCTACAGTTAGTTCTTGTGGATAAACATTGTTGTTCTTCATTCACTAAGTTTATACACAACTTTCAACGATGAGATTGTAATATATGTCACCAAGAGTGACGAATGATGTCTCATTCCTTAAGTTTACAGTCTGCAGATCTAACAGTGACATCTGAGGAGAAGATTCTTGATGCTGTTCTCATGTGGTGCATGAAAGCTGAGGAGCCACAGCGTTGGGAAGACATAGATGAGCTAATGAACTACTCTAATCCAGAAATTTTGTTCAAGGAAAGGCTTCAGTCACTTGATGACTTGTTGCCTCATGTACGCTTCTCTTTGTTGCCATACGAGTTGCTTGAGAGGGTAAAGCAGATCTT